GTCTGTGAAAGCCTTTTTTTGTCTGTGAACATCGATTCACAGACAAAGTTTTGCACAAACAAAATATTGTCTGTGAACCGGGTTCACATACAAAAAAAAACTTCACAAATATGGTATGTATAAGGTGTGTACAAGGTTGTGTACATCAAAAATGGTTGTATAAATAAATGGGGTTTTCCTTAAATATTACTAAACAAAAGCTAAATTCCAAAAATGTAACCATTTTTCAAAAGGACAAAAAAGTGACTAAGAGAGTCATATATTTAGAAAAACATTATGTTACTGACAATTTTTTATGTCACTGTCACATTTCTATGTCACTGTTAAATTTTTACGTCACTTTTTTACTGTCACTATCGGTTTACGTGTCACTTTCGAATGTCACTGGCGTTGTAATTTTCTGGTCATTCTTTCCGGTAAAACAATGACCTCCACGCATTGACCATCCAACACAACCAGACACCCCGCCGGCCACCGCCCCACCCCGACTCTCCAGCTCCCTCCCTAACCCCAACCCCCTCTGCAATATTACGACTTAATTAATTATGTTTCATTAATGTACTGGGCCTGGCCTGTTTGTATAGGGTTTGTATAGCTTACTTAGATTATGACTCTTGTACTATATATACTCCTTAATCATTAATAATATACATCAACTTCTCATCTCAATATGGTATCTAGAGCCACACTTTAAAAAGCCAAAACAATAATTTTTTTTTTCCGGCTATTAGCCGTGTTCGTTTCCCAAGGGCCGCAGCCTAGGGTTCCGCGCAGCCGCCGTCGACAGCTCCTATCACCCAGCCATGGTTCTCACGGCGGAATCCACCGTGATCACTATCACGGCCTCTACGCACTTTCCAATTAAACTCACTTCCTCCAATTACCCAGTTTGGAAAACCCAGGTTTATGCCGCTCTCATTGGACTTGGCCTGGAAGATTATGTGGATGGTACCCTTACCACCCCCCATCTTCATCTTGATATTGATAAATCTACTCCGAATCCGCTCTATCAAACCTGGTACCGCCAGGATAAAAGTATTCTCAGTGCTCTGTTGGGCAGTTGCTCGGACACTATTCAGCCTCTTCTTTCTTCGGCTAGTACGGCCAAGGAGGCGTGGGATCGCCTCTCTCAAACGTATGCTGGTTTATCGCGTGGACGTATCATGTCGCTCAAGTCTACCTTTGCTAAAACAGTTAAAGGTACAAAATCTATCACGGAATATCTTGCGGAGATGCAAGGACTTGCTGAAGCATTGGCCCTGTCTCAAAACCCTATGCCCGAAGAGGATATTGTCATTGGCATCCTCAACGGCCTCCCCCCTGATTATTCCGAAATTATTGCTGCTGTTCGGGTCCGTGATACAACGATACCGTTAACAGCTCTTCAGGATATTTTGCTGGAGCATGAAGCCAAGCAGGTCGCCATTCATTCGCAATCCTCGCAGCTGCTACCGACAGCCAACTATACCGCTGGACAGCGCGGTTTTCGTGAACAGACTGCCCAGCGAGATGGTGACAACAACAGCGACCGTCGCGGTGGATTCTCTGGCCACCGTGGTCGTGGTCGCGGTTCGTACGGTTCTGGGGGGGGTCGCGGAACCTCCAGGCAGCTTCAGTGCCATTTTTGTGAAAATATTGGACATGAGGTCAAGCACTGCCGCAAGCTTCAGCGGTTCCTTCGGAACCATAATGTTCTCCCGCAGCCGGGTCCACATGCCAATTATGTGTCTGCTCCTTCTCCCGTGTAAATCAGCCCTGGCTGTTTGATAGCGGAGCGTCTCATCATGTTACGTCCGATGTGTCTCATTTACCCACCTACGCTGAGTACGGGGGTCCTGAAGAGGTTAAGTTAGGGGATGGTAAGTCACTTAATATTACTCATAAAGGTACCACTATTTTATCTACCCCTACCCGTCCTCTCTCTCTGTCCAATGTTTTATGTGTTCCTAAATTACAGAAGAATCTTATTTCTGTGGCCAAGCTCTGCAAAACTAATCATGTCTCTGTTGAATTTTTTCCTGATTTTTTTATTGTGAAGGATCGCATCACGGGGGCGCCACTGCTGCGCGGGGTGAATCAGCATGATGTTTACTATGCCCCAGTGTTCACACCTGCCACGGTCAATGCCACTCAATCTACCTGGCACCACACTTTGGGTCACCCTTCGCGTCGTGTCATGCAGTTTTTATCTTCTGGTTCAAACATAAAGTTTTCTCCCATTCCTCATTGTATGTCCTGTTCAATCAATAAAAGTCATAAACTCCCTTTCTTTAATAATACGATGTCTGCTTCCAAACCATTGGAATTAATTTATTCTGATGTATGGAGTTCTAGTGTTTCCTCAATTGATGGTTATTACTATTATGTCATCTTTGTTGATTATTTTACTCGTTATACCTGGCTCTACCCTTTAAAAAGAAAATCTGATGTTGCCATAATTTTTCCTCAGTTTCATCGCCTTGTTGAAAAATATTTTAATTCTCGAATAATTAAATTTTTTTCTGACAACGGCGGTGAATTTATTAAATTGCGCCCCTATCTCAATGCTCATGGTATTTCTCACTTCACCACACCACCTCATACCCCTGAGCATAATGGCTTAGCTGAGCGTAGGCATCGTCATATTGTTGAAACTGGCTTGGCCTTACTACACTATGCTAGCATGCCTCCTCAGTATTGGTCATATGCTTTTCTTACTGCCGTTTATCTCATCAATAGACTACCTACTCCTACTATTCATGGTGCCTCCCCCTACTCTAAATTACATAACCTCACTCCTAATTACTCCAAACTTCAACCGTTTGGCTGTTTGTGTTATCCCTGGCTTCGGCCGTACACCTCCACCAAACTCCAACCCCGATCCATTCCGTGTGTCTTTCTTGGTTATTCTCTTACTCAATCTGCCTTTTACTGTCTTGATCATCACTCTGGTCGTGTCTACGTCTCGCGTCATGTTGTATTTGTTCCTCACACTTTCCCTTTTCTATCTTCTAATCAGTCCTCCTCCGTAACTAGCAAATCTCTCTCGCGGTCCTTCACAAGCTTGGTAGCTCCCCGTGTTTTCTTCCCTACCGCCCAGGCCCCACCCAACTGGAACACAGCAACCAACCTTTCTCCTGCTGCCAGTCCGCAAACTCTGCCCGACACCAACACCCAACCCATCCCACCTCCAGGTCCCTTAGTCCCTGTGCCTCCATCTCTTCCTTCTTACCCATCGTCACAGCCTACCACCGAGCCGAACATCTCATCTCGCCCTGCCCGACAACGCAAACCTAACCCTAGATATTATAGTGGTGCTTTTGTGAATAATACTAACGTGCATCCTGTTTCCCCTACACTTGAACCATCTTCTTTAAAAGTGGCTTTGCAGGATTCCAGGTGAAAGAAAGCAATGGATGAAGAATATCAAGCCTTATTACGCAATCATACATGGGACCTTGTTCCTCCTGCTCATCCCTCTCCTATTACTTGTCGATAGATTTTTCGTGTCAAGCGCCATTCCGATGGCAGTGTTGCTCGGTTCAAGGCACGTTTGGTGGCTCGTGGCTTTCTCCAGCAGCCCGGACGTGATTATTCTGAGACCTTTAGTCCTGTTTTTAAGCCAGCCACCTTACACATCGTCCTTACTATTGCTTTGTCTCGCGCATGGCCGATCCGACAGCTAGATGTTAATAATGCTTTCTTGCATGGCACCTTGGAGGAGGAGGTATATATGGTTCAGCCACCTGGATTTGAAGACCCAGCTCATCCTACGCATTTGTGCCGCCTTAAGAAGGCCTTATATGGTCTTAAGCAAGCGCCACGGGCTTGGTATCTGGCACTTTCCAGATTTTTACTTAGCATGGGGTTTCGGCGGTCCCAGACGGATCATTCCCTATTTGTTTATAATCATGCGGGTGTACTTATTTATTTCCTAGTCTATGTGGATGATATTGTGTTAACAGGTAGCTCAGACACTGTTCTTGCTAGGTTCATCTCTCAGCTCACCAAGGAATTTTCTGTCAAAGATTTGGGACCGCTTCATCACTTCCTTGGGATTGAGGTTGTACCTCACCCCACTGGCCTACTTTTATCTCAACGGCAGTATATTCTTACAATTCTCGAGAATCACGGTATGCTGGGAATTAAACCGGCTGTCACACCTATGAGGGCTGGTAACCCTGGGTCGAGCACTTCGACAGCCGCATTTTCTGATATCACAGGCTATCAGTGAGCACTGGGCATGTTGCAGTACTTGTCTTTCACTCGGCCTGACATTTCTTTTGCAGTTAATCGGCTCTCTCAATACATGCATTGCCCTTCGGTTGATCATTGGACATCTGTCAAACGCATTTTTCGCTACCTTAAAGGTACTTTGGATTTTGGATTGTTTTTACATAAATCTCAGGGTCTTCAGCTTACTGCATTTTCTGATTCTGATTGGGGTGGTACAACTGATGATGGGAGATCTACCACTGCTTATGTTCTCTATCTTGGTCCTAATATTATTTCTTGGAAGTCTACCAAGCAAAAGAGTGTTTCTCGCTCCTCGACTGAGGCCGAATACCGTGCGGTCGCAAATGCCAGTGCCGAGATCCTATGGGTCAAAAACGTGTTGCATGAGTTGGGTATCACCTTATCTTCTGTTCCTATGCTTTACTGTGACAATCAAGGCGCCACGTATGTTTGTGTTAATCCAGTATTTCACTCGCGAATGAAGCATCTTGCCTTGGATTTTTTCTTTGTTCGCGAACTCATTCAACGTGGTCAACTACATGTTTCACATATCTCCACCAAATTACAGATTGCAGATGCTCTTACCAAACCCTTGGGACAGTCTTTATTTGAACGATTTCGGTCCAAGCTTGGAGTTTCCGACGGAACCTCCATCTTGCGGGGGCGTATTACGACTTAATTAATTATGTTTCATTAATGTACTGGACCTGGCCTGTTTGTATAGGGTTTGTATAACTTATTATGACTCTTGTACTATATATACTCCTTAATCATTAATAATATACATCAACTTCTCATCTCAATATGCAACACCTCCACCCTTCGCCTGCAGACCACACCTCCTTCCAAGCCCTAACCACCCCTCCAACCACCCCACCGCTGCGCCCCGCCCCAAAATCCAAGTAGCCGAACTAAATTAACCTCACAATCGCACCACCACACTAGATCCGAACCCTAGCAATCAATATGAAACTCTAGCCGTCGAAAATGGACGGCGGCTCCATGGACAGCGGCGACTTCAGGCGAGCAGAGGTGGTTCATGGAGAAGAAGAAAGGGGAAGGAGTTGGTGCGGCGGAGAATCGATGCAGAAGAAGGAAGAAGGCTGGTCTCCATCTTCGTCGCAGGGGCTGGTTGCATCTTCGTCGCAGGGGCTGGTCGCATCTTCGTCGCAGGGGCAGGTCTCCATTTTTGTCGCAGGGGCTGGTCGCATCTTCGTCGTAGAAGCTGGTCTCCATCTTCGTTGCAAGGGCTGGTCTCATCTTCATCCCAGGCTCCAAATCCTGAATTGTCGAAGAAGGTAAAGTAGCGTAGAAGATGGGGCGTTGATGGTGCGCCAGAATTTTATTTCAAAATGATCACTTTTCTGTCAAATTAAAAAATTGACATATTTTTGTCTAATGAAACAAGATATAAGATGAATATAATAATTGTAGCTATATCTACTAAATTATAAAAAAGAAGAAGAATAATGTAAAGAAAAAAAACTCTGTACGAAAAAATTAACCAAAATGATCCTTTAAGGTGACTTCGCTAAATCATCAGAAAAAGTTGTTACTCAACCTTACTTTGATCCCAAAAGGTGGAATCTCTCGCCCCCAGAGTCCCCACACTCCGACCCGACAGGGTACGTGGGAGGATGTAAATCATGGTAACTCAGTCAACGAAGTGACAGTAGACCCATATACCCGTGCGCGCCAGAGGTCCAACCTATTTTCAGTGGTTGTGACCTCAACATATTCGCTGCGGGATTCGAACATTGGTCTTTTGATCCAAATTTCCCACCACTCAACAAACTGGGCTAACCGTGCAGGTTATTACTCAACTTTACTTATTTTGGTTATTCATCAATTTACCGTGCGAAATCAAAAGTTACGTGTTTGATAAAAAGTTGACTGATAAGGCTTAAAATAGGGTAATCAAACATGATTTATAATTTAATTGTTTTTTTTCACATTTTCAATAGTTTCACTCCTAGAGTCCTAGAGGTCGTTTGACAACACTGTTTTTCGGCTTATCAGACTTATCAGCATCTTTTTCAACAAACATATAACTTTTGGTTTCACGCGCTCGATTGTGTAATAAGCAGAAAAAGTAAGATTGAAGTTACTTTTCTGACTATATTGGCTAAAATTACGGTAGATAGATCATTTTAGCTATTTTTACATATAATTTTTTCTTTATTTTATTAAGAAAATATATTTTAAAAATATTTTTTCCTTAAATCAACAGAATCAGTCAATGCAGCACTTCATCCAGAACTTCATAAATTTCAGCAGAATCAGTCAAATCAGCCGATTTTTGTGCTAACAAACTGAATTTAATTCTGCTAAAAAAAACAGGTGAATTTAATTTTGGGAATGAGAAGGTAAAGAGCTGGAGTGCGGGATTGCTACTCACAATTGTGGCCTCGACGTTTTTTACTGTTGGAGGGGTCTAAATGCCTAATCACTCATAATTATCGGCAAAACCAACAAGATTCAGCCTTCCTATTTCTGTTGTATTCATTTTGCAATCTCAACAATTTCATGGTTTTGTATACCTTGTGAAAGCTTTCCGTACTGTTTTATTTTAACTCTATGTTTTATGCTTTAATTTCGATACTGTTTTAGTTAAACTCTATGTTTTATTCTTTCTTTTCATTTTTCTTTTGAAATCGTCTATATATGCAAGATTGCAACTTGTAATGGATTATATCTCTCTCGTCTCTGCCAATTCTATTTTTTCATATAACTAGCACAGTACCCGTGCATACGCACGGGAAAAAATGATCGCTCTATATATACTTTTATTTATGATCTGATTAAATATAAAAATATATTTTTTATCTTACAATTTACTTCATTTCAAAAATGGAGTATGATAAGTGAATATAAAAAAGCATAAATCCATACAACAAATATTCAAAGTAAAAGAAAATTAAAATATAAAAAAATCAACATCATCTATTAAAATTTACTACGTAATAATAATTAGTGATGTTGGCAACAGAGTGAAATATTGAACTTATTTGTTAGAGTTTTGAAAAACTACCTTAAAGAGAATTTATAGTAGTAATGATTTGTGATTTTCTTTTCTTATCATGTACGTAGTATTAAAACCATTAATCCATGTCTTCTAAACTCTCTCCATAACACCACATATATAAATTTTACATGACTAAAATACGTCTAGGTAGGAATATTTTATCTTTTTGCAGTGATAGAGCTTGATATTTATTGATTGTCATAACATTGGTGATAATTATAGCAAAATGTCTTCTCAGAAGTTTAAAAGGTCATGAGAGAAAATATGAGATGAAATTCTCTCGATCAATTATTAATCTGTTGATCTTATCTTTTTATACCTAAAAGCATTACATATGAGAGATAAATAATCCCGCTCAATTATTCGTATTCACATCTTATCTCACCTTCTTATATACTTAGTCATTACATATGAGAGAGAAAATTATCCCGCCCAATCATCTGCACGTTAATCTTTTTATCTTCTTATTATACTTAAAAGCATTACATGTGAGAGAGAAATTATCCCGCTCAATTATTCGTCTGCATATCTTATCTTACCTTCTTATTATACCTAAAATCATTACGTATGAGAGAGAAAATCATCGCGCCCAATCATCTGCACGTTAAGTCGACTTATCTTCTTATACATAAAACATCTACATATGAGAGAGATAATTTTCTTGCTCAATTGTTTAAGCCGGCTAATTATATACCCATACTTCTCATACCTAATCTTCTTTATTATACCTAAAAGCATTGCGTATGAGATAGAAAATTTTCCCGCTCAATTGTTTTAATCAGCTTATCTTATAATTAAAAGCACTATATGTATGAGAGAGAAAATTCATTCACTCAATTTTAGCCGGCTTATGAGCTTATCTTATAATCAAAACCACTTCTAGTATAGTACCCGTGCATATGCACGAGAAAGAGCAGTCCGAGCATATAATTTTACCCTTGATTTAATTAAATATTAAAATAAAAATAACCTTGTAGGATTCGACATTTTCGAAAAATAACAGTACAATAATCTAATACCATGAAGTATAACTCATACAATAAATATTCAATGAAGAGTATATTAGAAAAAATTAATTGACAACACTCATTAGAATATGCAACTTATTAATTTTCATGATTAAACTCATTTTGATATTAAATACTATACCAAAAAGGTGAGTACAATAAGTGATTGACATAAAGTTTAAGTGAATACAATAAATATTAAACTTAAGTAATACTTCGTATTATTTAAATAAGAACTTGCTACTCATTAGTTAAATTAGTGCTAACATAAAAGAGATAAAATTATATTGCTCAATTCTTAGCCGCTTTATCTTATACCTAAAAACATTATGTATGAGAGAGAAATTTTTACTGCTTAATTGTTATTCAGCTTATCTTGTACTTAAAGAACAACATATATGAAAATTTCTCTACTTAATTGCTAGCAAGCTTATTTTTTAATACCTAAAAGAACTACATATGTGAGAGCAAAAATCTTCTACTCAATAATTAGCTAATTCCGTAGAAATTTATGAGAGAGAAAATTCGATCGCTCAATTATTAGTAGGGTATCTTCTAATATGTAAAATCACTACATGGGAGAGAAAATTCTCTAGTTCAACTATTAGCAAAATTATCTTCTTATATCTAAAACTCTTACATATTAGAGAGACAATTCTCTTGTTCAATTGTTAGTCAGTTTATCTAATACTTAAAAGAACTATATGAGAGAGAGAAATGGTTCCACTCAATTGGTTAGCAAGTTTATTTTCAAATAGCTAAAAGCATTACATATTTTAGAGAAAATTCTCCCGCTCAATCGTTAGTCGGCTTATCTTATACCTAAAAGCATTATATATGATAGAGAAAATGCCCCCTCTCAATCGTTAGCTAGATTAACTTATACTTAAAAGCTACTTATGAGAGATAGACATTTCTCGCTCAATTATTAGACGACTTATGGCTTAATACCTAAAAGCATTATATATGATAGAGAAAATCCTCCCTCTCAATTGTTAGCTAGATTATCTTATACTTAAAAGCTACTTATGAGAGATAGACATCTCTCGCTCAATTATTAGACGACTTATGACTTAATCTTTCTTATATCTAAAACAGGGTCATCAAACAGCACATAATTTTAAATGAAAAATGAGCATATAAGCATTTTTATATATTATATAAGGGCTAGTTTTTATTTATTATAGTCACTAAATGTCAATAAAACATATTTTTATCCATTATCCCTTGCTTGAAAATCTATTTTTATAGGTTGGGCCCAGCCGATTATATTTCTCCTCAAGCCTTCATTGCTTTGGAGAAATGGACACATATGAATTAAATTTAAAAGTTTTATTTATTAGCATTTTGACATCTTTATAGCAAAAGAGTGAATCGTGGAGAAATGGACACATATGAATTAAATCGAATTAAATTTATAAGTTTTATTTATTAGCATTTGAGCACCCGATGTGGTTATCATTTTCATTTGCTAATTTTTTAATTTCGAGTGACATTATAATAGGAAGGAATATGATTTGTAATACTTTGATAATGAAAGTATACTGTTATATTTTGATTAAAAGTAATACTATGAGCTCTTTTGGTAACACTTAAATCGGTTGAATTGGCTAATTCGGTAGAAATTTATGAAGTTCTGCAGAAAAGGTGAAGCTATGTGGCATAAATAGAGGAATGCTATCTAATCTGGTAGATAGACACGTTACATAATAACTGGGCAAAATGGTATTTTTAATAGCTTAATCCTTTCTTATATGTAAATATATATAATTGTAAACATAATTATAGACACCTTTAACAAATATTTCTTTATATATTCAATATTGATCTCATATGAAACATCACAAAAAATATGAATTTTTATATATTGTTTGTAAAAATTAGAGTAAAAATAAAAAAGTTATAACACTTTAAAGAAAATTGAGGTTTTTTATATACTTATTAAAAGTAAGATAGATGACGTATATTAGTAGGCCAAATTTTTATAATTTCTATCTCCGTAATTCGTTTTTTGTAAAGCAAATAACAAAAATGCAAAAGATGAAGTCACATGACATAAGTACATCAATGCTCTCTATCATTTGTAGGTAGACATGTTACATAATAATTGAGAGTAGAACCATAGTTTTAATAGCCTACTACTTTCTTATAAATAAATATATATATTCTACTTCCGTCCCAAATTAATGGTCCTAGTTCATGTTCATATTCACTTGGTCAACACAAATTATTCTTAATCATTTACTTTTTATATCAATTTTTTATGAAATTTGATTCATGTTTTTGCGACTTGGTAAAACTTTTAATGTAGTTTCTGAATATGTAAATTTTATCTGCTACAAATAATTTGAGTACAAACAGAAATTCATTTGCTTTAACGTCGGTCAAGTCTCGTAAACCTCAACAGGACCATCAAAAATTATAGTGACCTTTCAAAAATTATATTTTTATATATTCAATATTGATCTCAAATGAAAGATCACAAAAAATTTTGAATTTTGATATATTTTTTATAAAAATTGGAGCAAGAATGAAAAAGTTATAACAGTTTAAATAAAATAGGTTTTTTTTTATAGTTTGGGCCCCACCAAATGCTTTCCTTCAGTGTTCAAGAATACATTTGGAGTGAAAAATGTCACTTGTCAATCCTGTAGCAAATGAGCAAATTAAGGAGAGGTGGACACATGGATTAATGAAGGGCATAATGGTATTTTGATGAACTATTTCTTTTCTTATATATAAATAGAAAACTATCAAGATTTTCTTATTTTGGTGATAGTAAATAGTGAAATAAAATCACAATATATAAGATCATTTGTGTTCTATCCTTTCGGGGACATCCGATTAAATTGAAACGATACAGAGCAGACCGTTTGTTTCCAAACTTGTCGATAATGAGCGGTGGATAACCCTTGAGAATATACACGGTAGGTTACGACTGGATATATACATGTCCCCAAATCATTTTCCCAAATACATAAAAAGTAGTGATTATCAAAATATATGGTTTGTACCTACATTAATCACCCAGAGATTTTTCATATTGCGCCCAATAATCATGTTTTTTCCTTTTACGTACTACAAAAATGGAATTCGTAGATATATGCGTGTAGTCTATTTAAAATGTCAATTGAACCGATTGGAGTACATCACTACCAGAAAAATAGATATTTGTTGCGGTCATTTTTAGCTATTTGCTGCGGTTTTGAACCGCATCAATTGACGGAACACCAAATTGTAGGAAAACGTATTTGCTGCGGTTCAGAACCACAACAAATAGCTATTTAAAAAAACGAATTTTGACTTACTGTTGCGGTTCGGAACCGCAGCAAATAGCTATTTGAACCGCAACAAATAGTCTTACTTTTTAATTTTTTTATTGCAGCAAAAATATTCAAAAAAAAACTAAAATTGTAATATTTATTTTTGTTTTGTTCTACTACCCCAATGACCAAGTTTACAAACATGGTGTTTCAAACCAAAACACATGTTATTTATAAAATAAGAAACATTCAAATTACAATAAGAGCATCTTACATCACAAAACAAAACCATAATTCCAAAAGAACTAAGGTATACATCACCAAAGTTCATTATGCATACAATAGAAATAGATGTCAGAAAGAGTGATGTTTGAACTTTTATAACAATGTTATAACATGTGACGATAAAACTTACTTGTAGTAGAAATAG